CCCCCCCCCCGCCCCCCCCCCCCCCCCAAAGAATTTTTTTAATAGAGTTTTCTGTTATTTATGTATTAGTTAATGCATTTTCGCCCCCAAACTTTTAATTTTGTACACTTTAGTCCATAAAAACAAAAAAAAAATCTTCTCTTAAATTACCCGATATTTCAGCTCCCTTTAGAAAACCCCCCTGGGTCCGCCCCTGATTGCGCACACACACGTGTGGATGTGTGTAAATAAGTTGTTATTTCATGCTTGTGCACTTTTGGACTTCTCTATTTTGTGTGTAGTAAGGAAGTAGAGATAATATGTCATCAAATAATTAGCAACCTATTTGGATTGCAAATTCTAAACTTGATGAATTAGAATTTGCAAAATAATCTTAGATTATTCTATATTAATAGTTTTAATATGATTTTAAATTGATAATTGGGGAAATGTCTTTGAAACCAAATAAAACATATATCGGAAAAAGCGCAAATAATCAATCGTGTGTGTACAATCGAGATGAGTGCTCTCGTGCTGTGACATTACTAGAGCTTTATGATAGCACAATCGAGGTAATGACGAGTTTTGCCCCTGCGAGATGGAGCGAGAAAATGTCAGAACGGAACGAAGATTCTTATCCCAAACTTGTATTATTCGACAATGCCATGTGAATCGCTGGAAACATGTAAAGTATATGGCTAACACAATAACGAAAGGGGGTTGGAGCAGACTATCGTAAGAAAAAAAATTCATTATAAAAAGATTTGATTCAAAAGAAATTTCATTTAATAAAAGTATGCGATCTCGGATTCTTAATTCGTTGAATAGTCGTCAATTCGATTATTTTAGAAAAGTTCGTAGGCTTTGGCATCATGTCTAAGAAATTCATCTTTTTCGTACCGAAGAAGCAATGTAACTCAATCGTTCGCAAGCGGACTAATTGATTGGAATAACTTTTTACTAATATTTTAGATATTAATGGAATATTATAACCAAATTCTTATTAATCGTGGATTCAAAATAATGATATATAACATGCATATAAGTCAAAAATTGATATTTTTAATTAATTTCGTTTACCATCCACATAATAATATTCTATTTGAATATTTGAAATATTGTAGGAATATTTAAAAATAATATTTCCAAGAAAAAACAATTTGATAATCACAATTCATAAATGTGTGCCCTAAAAAATCAATGAATTAGGCAAATAATGGATTCACCGGACTTTCCTTTGAACGCACACTAACAAGTGTACTAATTATTTCCTTCATTCTCACACAAAATCCCCCCAAAAAATAACCAGATCGGATCTTGCCTTCTTCAAACAGTCATCTCTATCGCCGCCGGCGATTCCGAGAAACCCGATCAATGCGCACAAGTACAATCGGACTGGGGAGGTGAATCATTCTATCCCAATTTTTAATTTTTTTTTTTTCATCTGCTTGAAGTGCATTATTGATTTCATTTTTTCAATTTTGCTTTGTTGCTGGGATCTATTAAAATGGCCGTGGAAACTGGGTCGGTTTTGTTTATTCCGATTGGTGGTTTTGTGTATTATTTTTTTTTTTGGAGTGTTAATTTTCTGCATTATTGAGTCGGCGTGCCGTCTCAAATGGCTTGGATTGTCGTAAATTCTAAGTGCGTCGAAATTTGATGATTAGGGAAAACTGTCACTATAATCGTAGCTGCTATTTATTTGGCATGAAGTGGCTGTTGTTTGATGTTAAGGACTAGAAAATAAATTTGAAATTTAGGTTATTGGGTTCTGGATATATGTTTGAATGAAGAATGCAGTATCGACGCCCTTTTGTGATTCTTTTGTTTTGTCAACTTTAGTGGATACTCTAGAATCATCTAGAGACATTACTTCGAGTGGACTTAGCATCCAAATAAGCAGCACTAGCTCATTTGATTAGTATATAATTTTTTTCTGGTCCATATACTGATGTATATTTTTCAACCATCTTGATTTTGCTTGGATCCCGGATTGGACGCTGTGAAAAAAAATTAAAAAATGCACGATTTAGATAGGTGATACTAGAACCAAGAACCTATTTTTGGGAACATATTGCACCTGAAAAGTATCGTTACCTATATGTAGCCTTTTGTTGCATTCTCTCTCTCCTTCCTCGTCAAAGAAAAAGAAAAAGGCATCAGTAAGAAAAACATAATAAGCAGAAGAGACGTTCAAAATTATGGTCTTGATGCACACATGCTTCAGTTTATCTCATTCCTAAAGCATGCAATGATTTGGATACTACTTCATTATCTCTAACCTATTGCCGAAAAGAAACATTCATTAAAATTTGACTAGCATTGCTACCTCTTTATTACATATTTGAGGCAGTGCCATATGTTACTGATATAATCATTAATGCATATGTTCTTAAAATCTCATTGTGATGTCTTTTTTCTTTTTCTTTTTCCAGACGCTTTCAAGTACTCACTTGATTAAAACCGTACATTTTATCACCTCCATCTATGTTTGGAGGTGCCGTGTCTATCCCCAACAATAGTCCTCATTTACGCAAGTCCGGAAGCCGACCTGTGGTGTTTGATATTGGTAATTGAACATTTACCTTCAAGTTCCTAGTACTATCTGCGTGCCATCAGTTTTCGTTTTTCCTCAACGGATGTATGTCATGTTTGTCATAATATACTATCATCTGCTAGGTACAGGTGATCTGGGAAATAGTTCTGAAGAAGATTTTTCACATTCTTTAGAGTCGGATGAAATGAAGGGTGGGGCCATACCATTAAACAGCGTGGCAATTACGCCTTCTCCACTTCTGCTATGGAGATTTAAGGTATTCCAGTGAGTTGATTACAGAGTGTCAGAGTGGCTATTATTCCTTATGTTCGCTGGTAAAAGCTCATTATGAAGAGTACCTTATCTTCTGTGTATTTTTATTTTTCTCCTTTTGCATTTTATGTATAGTAAACAATAATTGGGTGACAGTCGATAGATAAGAAACATTGGTCCACTCTTATGAATGGCCTGAACCATAAAAGAGTATCTTATGATGTTGGTGAATTTAATTAGTACAGTTTCTTTAGGAGGATTTAAGAGTTTAGTGTATAGAAATGACATCAAATGATTGAGTGACTGGATTTAACATAAATAATTTGTAGTGAACGTGTTGTTTTTGTTCGAAAGTTTCTCAAAAAATGTTTAAGGAGTTGTAATCTTGCCCAAGTGCATTATTATCAACAAAAACAATGTTTCATACTTTTTATATCCAGGTTTTGGTAATTTATCCTCTCCAGTACTTCCTTATTCCATTTCTCTTGTTTGTAGAAATGATGATCGATTTTAATGCTTATTATATTTTTCCATTATGCTTAGTAAAAAGGTCTTCCATATAGCATTCCCAGTTCATTATTTCCTATTGGAAGAGTTGTTCTAAATTGGATCTGTGATTTTTCGGTTCTTCCGAATTATGCTCTATGGTTTATGACAGAGCTCAAGAAAACTCTTATAGTGAGCTGCTACGTCTGTGTTATTACATGTTTTCAGTTAGCTTGTCAATTTAATTACATGCTGTAAGTTAGCATGTCAAATTAATTACATGTTTTTAGTTAGCTTATCAATTTAATCCAACTTAATGTACAGGTGCTACTGTTTATTATCTGGGGATTCTGTTGTTGCAAGGTCAGTTTCACATCTTTCATTGATACAGATCCACTCATATGTATACTAATCCATTTTATATCCCTAGACTCGAGCTTACAACTTACGATGGCGTAGCTATTGTTGCCTACTTTGTGGGTTGGATGTGGAAATATCAGAATTTATACTTGATTCTGGTCATCAAATGATCAATGTTTTTGTCTGCAATTTGCAGATTGGATGGGATTCAGTCATGAGAATGAGCGTAGACCTGCGGGATTTATTTTTATACGAGGCTTTCTTGTATTACAATCCATTCCTTCTAGTGGTCAGTGAACTCATATCACTGACTTTTTAGTATATAAAAGGATAACTAGTATTAAATTTATATGTATTATCAATTTGGGCATCTTTTTTACCATGCATTTGCTTGTTATTGCAGACTATGATGGTCTGGTTATGGGGAATAAATTTATGGGTTTTTGCCCAAGCTAATGTCGGTTATGCTAAAATGTTTGACCTAGATCAGAGTCATCTCACTCACCGAGAGATATGGAAGGTATGCATAATTTGAACAATACAGTATGTTTAGCTTGTAGTCAAGCTTTTACTCTTAAATGTGTTTATTGTCTGCTGTTACTTCGCTTTACTGTCCAAACACAAGTTAGTTCTTCACGTTTTTTTTTTCTTTCTGTTTTTTGTTTTCCTGTTGCTGACATTTGATTACTTTTTACTTACTATCCATTTAATTTCTCAGTGTGCTACATGGATGACGATCATAGTACCAACTAGCATGACAGCATATCTTTATCTTTATTCCCATGGAGAAGTTTCGTTGGCTGCATCTCAACCAGTGTAATAGATGCTTCCTCTCCTAGAATCTTTTGTTGCTATATATTTTGTGTGTTCTGTAAATGCTATTTCTCTTGTTTTCAGTTGCAACTATAATGTGCTTCAGCTTCAAAAGACACAATGATATTATTCTTCTTGCATTTTCTAGTTGAATCTGATGAACTTGATTAGAAATCTATTTGTAGAAACTTGTAATGTTGGTTGAAGATTCTCTTTCAGTGAGGTTTTACTTTTCCAATAAAAATGTAACATGTGCATTGAAGTCATAAAGTTATGCAAGTTGAAGTTGGCATAAACTTGTAACGTGGGTCGAAGATTCTACCAATTAGGTTTCTTTTTTCTAATAAAAATGTAACTTGTGCGTAGAAGTCGTTAAATTGTGCAAGTTAAAATTGGCATTGGCATTGACATTCGTAATGTTAGAAAAAACATGCTTTTGATTATATGCCACTTATCGCAGATAACAATTCGTTGTTCTTGCAAGGCAACTTTTAACTTTGGAACACACCTTGTATTTTCCTATAGAAAAATATAAGCCTTTATTGCTATTTTTTGAATAAAATAAATAAATAAACTGATGCTCTAGCGTTTATATTATGCTAAGTCACCTGAGGTGATTGATTGATTAGAGAAATAATTTTAAATTAATGCTATCATGTATTGCTTACATGTGTGATGCTTGATTGAACTCTTAAACTCTCTCAAGATCATTCTAGACGTTTCCTGGTTTGCTGGCTAACCTCTTTGTTTGGACCAGCATGCGTAATAAAAGGTGCTTTTGTACCAAGATATTGTTGTAACATTTGTGTTGGCAACTGCAGGTGCTCTTATATGCTGCTGCTGCAATGACCCTTATTTTTCCTTTTGATATCTTCTATCTTTCATCTCGTTTCTTTTTATTGAGGACTGTATGGCGAATAGTCTTCCCATTACAGGCAAGTATTTGTGTCATAATATTTACAAAGCAGAGGATCCAGTATGTCATTATACTTGAACATTGTACCCGTATTTTCTCTCTTACAATTTACTTCCCAATGCAGGCGATATCATTTGCTGACTTCTTCTTGGCTGATATATTTACGTCTATGTCGAAGGTATGTAACCTATTTTTTTTTTTTGTAATTCTGCTACTAAGTTGTAAAATGCCTGTAGTTCATTTAATCCTCTCCAAAAAAGGTCCTTTTTTGAAATGGTTAATGCAGCAATTCTAGAGAATAACTCTCTTGTATAAGATTCAATGAATTTGCTCCGTAGTTTTAAGGTGCTATGCCCACTGAGATGTAGTCTCATTTTGAAGAAATATTAGCTTCTGCTACTTATTTTTGCTCTGAGAGACATGGGGTATGACCATCAATACTTGTTTTTTTTTTCTTTCTTTTGTCTACCCATGCAGGTTTTCTCGGATTTGGAGCGTTCAGTTTGTCGAATGGTCCATCGTCAGGTAAACATCATAATTATCGAAGTTTTACTTACTATGTTGATGCCGGTCAAGATAGTTATTTTTTATTTATCTTCTCGGAACCATGTCGAGCTCTGGGATTCTAGTTTTTCCTTTTGTTTTATTATCGTCGGATCGGAATTTTCTGGTAAAACTCGGATGAAATATTCTTAGTTATGTTGTTTGCATAATGTCTTATGAGAATTCATTAGATTCTCTTTAAAGCCTGCCCTTACATTCCTACGAGTGTCTATAAATGTGCAGGTTGCTACTATCGCATGGTTTGAGGCGGACTCTGTTTGTGGTAGTCACGCTGTTGCAATACCCATAGTTCTCGTTTTGCCTTATATTTTTCGTTTTTTCCAATGTCTTCGTCAATACAGGGATACTCGAGAAAAGACAGCTCTTTTGAATGGTAAAGTTTTTTGCGAGATTTACTTGCCTTATATATTCGTTTTCTTTATGATGTTTAGCTCTTATATGTTTCCAAATTCTTGATCGTTACTGTCGTTCTCTATAATGCTACACCAGTTCGGTAAAATCCCGTAAATAACTTGATCTTCGTACTGTTTTTCAGCCTTAAAGTATTCAACGGCCGTACCAGTTATTTTTCTTTCCGCCCTCAAATATCACGTTATTCCTGAAAAATGGACGAATATTTATCGGCCTTTGTGGCTATTTTCGAGTGTGCTAAACTCCTTGTACTCATTCTACTGGGATATCACGCGTGATTGGGACTTGAGGTACAAATACATAGAAACTGTTCTTGAAAATATATTCTCAATTACTTTAGTAAGATAATTGTCGTTTCTTCGTTTTTTTTAATTACTTTTTTGCCCTTTTTGGAAGGGGTGAAACTTATACCTGCTCTTTTCTTTTCCCCCAACAGCTGTTTCACTCGGATTTTCAAGTTCACCAAACCGCATATCTTGACACACATTTTATACGGAAGGAAATGGGTAAACCAACACTTCTTGCGTATTAATACCGTTAACCAAAAAACACGAAAAAAATAAAATAAAAAATGATGTTCGCTTGTTCTTTCTATCTGCAGGTTTATCTTTGGGTAGTCGGAAGCAATCTAATACTTCGATGCACATGGACTTACAAGCTTTCAGCCCATCTTCGCCACAACTACATCACCTTATTCGCAATAACTGCATTGGAGATGCTGCGTCGTTTTCAGTGGGTTTTCTTTCGTGTGGAGAACGAGTGGAACAAAACGAACTCGAAAGCAAATATTCAGCTAGTTGATAATTCCGAAGAAGAACAGATATTGCTTAATAACAATGGTCATAATGTATAGAGATGGATACTCGAAAGTATTAGACTCTGTTTTTTAGCTCCGATTTTTGACGTGATCTGACTGAACTATACACATCCTCGTTAGGCGACACAAAATCGACACCACATATCATATTTTTTCTCTTTTCTCATTATTCTTGATATTGAGGCAAAAAGAAAGTCCCGTTTTGGTATTATACAATAGTCGAAAATATGAACTTATTACTCGATTTTCTTTTACAAAATGATGTGTTTTTTTCTATTGGCATTTTTATTCACCCAATTTTGACCAAACTATGTAGATTTTCACCACCACAAAGGTGGTGCCGCTGCCGTTTGCCGATGCAAGGAAAAAGGCAAACATTTGAAGAAGCGGATGTAACGGCTATAAACAATTCTAACTACCATTCACGATGTTTGGGAACTTGGCGAACTAGATTGGCGACGACACCGTTTAGTAAAAGGCGTGGGGCTGTCACTAATAGAAAAACTTGCACTTACACTAAGAACATGCACCAAATTATATATGTGTACAGTGTATGTACACTGGGTAAACCTTTACTGTCGTACAATATGTTGTAAACCACACTAGAGATACATGTTTAACCTAGAAAGCGTTGATAGGGATGGAAATCGGACATACTAGATTGAATTTTCACGTTAGAAAAAAGAATTGGACTTGAAAAACTAATTCAAATTTCGTTCCAGAAAAATTAAGAAAAAAAAAAAACAAAAAAATTAAAATTTCAAAAATTGGCACGAAAAAACTTATTCCAGAATCGGGTCAAAAATCGAAATCTAATATCATGGTTACCGATTTTGTTCTAGAAAAAATAAAAATTGAAAATTTCGTTCCAAATTTCACGACTTTCGGCCAACTAGACCACTTTGAGGGGGCATTATTTGATTTGAATAAAGCTGAGAAAAAAATGGCTGCCCCAAGCCGAACGTTTTGTCGTTTGGCATTCTCTCTCTCTCTCTCTCTCTCTCTCTAATTTCATTTTTCTTTCATTCTCTCTCTCTTCTTATCTTGATCTTAATCAAAAGAAGAACATGATGGTATTAGAATCCGATTTATGTGGCTTCAGTTTCTCTCACTAGGATCTTCTTATTCCCCTCCAAAATTCCTCCTAACCCCACTTCTTACCTGTCTCTGTCTTCTTCCTCCTCTCTCTCTCTCTCTAATCTAATCTTTCATGCAAAATTAAAATATAAAGAATTTCTCCAAAATTAGTACAGCCATATGTTTGTTTTTAGCATGTTCTCAGGATTTTGTGAAACCCCCCCCCAAACATTACAGCCTCTGTTCTTTCTTTTTCCAGCTGTCTTCTTCTCCTCGCCAATTCTTCTTCTTCACCACGTCTGCAATTTTATTTATTTATTTTTAGTTTCACTTCTTCTGAAGAAAGAAATCTTGAGGAACCATCAAGGGATTTCCCGCCAAATCCTAGTTTTCTTGTTTTGAAATATTCCTCAATTTTGGTGCGCCGCCGCCGATGGAGAAGTTCGTGTACCGCGGGAATAATTTTCCGGCGAATTCGCCGGCGGCTCAGTCCAGAAGCTCGGAGGATTTGGACTTCGACGACGTCTTCGGCGGCCCGCCGCGGCGGTTCTCGATGCAGGAGGTGAAAGTGAGGTACAGTTTCGGCGGCGGAGCCACCGCCGCCGAATCGGAGGAGGATGAGGAGGAGGAGGAAGGCGGAGCTTCCGCTTCTTCGTCGTCGCCGTGGAGCTCTCGGAAGGAGAAGCCCGTCTTCGGAGAAGAGAGCGCGTCGCAGAGAAAGCGAAATCCGGGCGGCGATTTCTTCGACGATATATTCAAAGGCGGCGGCGGCGATTCTTACCCCTCCCCAAGGAGATCCGATACATTCGGGTCGAATCCGGGCTCGAGAATCATGAGCCCGGCCCGCCCTTTGCCCCCTAAACCCGACCCTTTTGGCTCTTCTCCATCTGCTCCGTTCAGGTAATTCTGTAATTTATGTTCCGGATTAGTTAATTAATTAATTAATTGCAGTCGAAATTCGCAGTTTGATATTGCTCGTAGATTTTAGCCCGTGTTCTTGATACAAATAGCAAGCACATCTTGAATAAATAATTCGTATATATCATGTTCCAGTTTGCCGGGCAAATCGACGAAAGGCGTGGAGCTCCCGGCATTTTCGTCCCGTAATTATTACAGCAGCGTAAATGGATTGAACAGCCCACGCTCTTCGAGTTCTTTATCAAGATTCTCGAATCAAGCAGTTCATCCTCAGCGCGCATTGTCTCGTGAAGCGTCTTTCAGCAGTGAAGATTCTGTCAAATCCGATCAAAAGGAATCTTTCGACAACTCGAAGAAGGAGTCGGCGAAAAACGGCGATCAGTTTCACTTCTCGATTTATAAATGGGCGGGGAGAGGTGTCCCTATGCTAATGACGTTTGTCGGAGGCGGCGGTAACAATTTGACGAAAAGTAATTCGAAATCGAATGACAACGTTAAATACGAACGGAGTGCGAGTTACAACGGGAGATTGATGGAGAACGAGTTCTTGAAAATGGAAAACGAACCGAAAGATTCTATTGGAAGTGTTCGTGTTGTTGATATAAAAGAAGAACAAGTTGGATCAAAGAAGATTGAAAAACGAGTCTACACGAATGTAGAAGACTCTCTCGAGTCCGAAGTGAAACCTCTTCGTGCAGGTGTGATTCAAATTTCGAGAATTGTGAATTGATACGAAAAACGAAGCAAATCTATTTTTTTTAGTTTATATAACATGAAATTCTATTGAAAATTTCCAGGAAATGTGACTAATGTGCGTGAGAGCAAACACGTGACGAAAAACGAGGGAACAAGAACTGATTCAAGAAACGATTCGGGGGTGACTTCTCGGAGAAGTAAGGTCAAAGGAAAGGTGAGAGATTTTGTTCAGATTTTCAACCAGGAAACCGAGTCAACTCCTAAAGCCGATGTTCAGACGAAAAGTCAAAGTTCTAGGTGGAAAAACGACGTAGGCGTTGACCAACAAAAAGAGAGTGAAGTAATTCCGAATGAAGCTAGAATTAAAACGGTAGATGATTTGCGTAATGTTGTAGATAGGAAAAAAGATGTTCCGGATAAGGTACTATTTTGCCTCCTCCGATTAAAGTTGAAATTAAACGATTTTGTTGTTAATTACGTTTATCTTGGAATTTTCAGGTGGATGAAAAACCGAGCAAAATCGAAACGGAGCAATACTCAACTACGAAGACTCCGATGCATAATAAACCCGAGAGCTCTTCTATTAATCAGGAGAAAGCATTTTCATCAGGTAGTTACTAATTGATATTTACGAGCAAAAAAAAAAGACTCGAAAATAAAATATTCTAAGATATGGTTTGTAATTTTTTACAGAGACGTTACACACGGATCCGAAGATTTCAGTGGAAAACTCGGACGATGCTTTTGAAGTCAACTTTATGGTAATTGACTTCTTTGATCGCTCGTTAATTGCATACGGAATCTGTTGTATTATTGGTGTACTTAAACAACTGTGTGTGTTACTTAGAACATTTTCTTCGTTAATTACGTTGTTAAATGAAGTCTTAATAAATCAGGCACACGTTAATTGACTTAGAGCTTGCATTCGTTTAAACAGGTTCAGGAATTATCGGAGGATCACGATAAAGTTGCAGAGAGCGAAATTTCCGATGACACAAAAGTAAGTTTCGGATTTCAAATAAAAATAACTGTATTTGTGAAATAAAGTTTATTCACTTAAAAATGTAATATTAACTGTTTCGAAACTTAAATGCAGGCTATTGATGCGAAAATTCGACAATGGTCATCTGGGAAGAAAGGGAATATCCGCTCGTTGCTATCGACTTTGCAATACGTAAATCTTATTTAATTAATCTTCCGATTTTCCATTTTTAATGATTTTTTTTTTTCAAAAAAAACAAAAACGGAAAATTTCGAGCAGTTACTAACATATAGTATTTGTAGGTTCTTTGGCCGGAGAGTGGATGGAAATCGGTACCCCTTGTTGACCTAATCGAAGCAAATTCGGTAAAGAGAGCTTATCAAAAAGCTTTGCTTCGTTTACACCCTGATAAGCTTCAGCAGAAAGGCGCGGCTTTTCATCAGAAATACACTGCCGAAAAAGTTTTCGATATTCTGCAGGTATTTTTTAGAGTTCATTTATATGTTCATTTTTTACATATTTTATCATTTTTTTTTATCTAATCGAGCTTTTAAAGAACGACGATCTCGAATTGAGTATTTAAATAGTTCATCAAATTGATGCCTATAAGGGAAAATTACGGCCACTTCCTGATTTAAGGTCAAATAACAAAATAAAAAAAACCCTCATATTTGTGTAATTACAACCACTCCCCTCAACTATGAATCTTCTTACACGTCCATCCTTTTTGCGATGTTAAATTTAATAAAATCTTCTAGATTATGTGGAATATTCTTCAGTTTGTGACCGTTTTATCTCATTCGAGCTCCACATTTTGAAACAAGGCGATCAAAAGATGTGTGTCTTGGCTTGTAAATATCAAAATTGTGGTGCATCAGAAACTGCGTTTTTGCACAAAACGAGTACAAACTAAAGAACATTCCACGGAATCTAGAAGATTATGTTGAAGGTGGCACCATAAGGGTGTATGTGTAAGAAGACTCATAGTTGTGGGGTGGTTGTAATTACCCAAATAGGAGGGGGGGTTTTCGTAATTTGACCTTACCGTAGGGGATGACCGTAATTTTTCCCAAATACAAGGACTTAAATAAATCTTTATCTTAAATGCAGGAGGCATGGGACCATTTCAACACTTCCTCCTCTTTGAACTTGTGAAGAAACAAGGACAATTCCTAGTTGTGCAGATATGTAAATATCATTTTGACAGATAAAAAAAAAAAATGGTATAGATTGGATTTTCATAGAGATTATGAGTATAATGATTATAATCATACTTGTTTTGTAAGAATATTTATTTATTATTTTTTTTTTACAGAAAAGTGTTGTAATAAATGAAAAAAGAAAAGAGACGAGAATCATATAATAGTGTCTTTATAGTGTACTAAGAGAAAACTTGTTGAGAAATGATCTCAAGTCAAAATGTATAATAGCTTTTCTTGCGCAATATTCAAAGGCGAAATACTTATATAAATAGTATTACAAGAATACACAAGAAATGAAGTAAATAATTTTCCTTACTGTGAATTTTTTTACACAGATCCTTCGTACAGTCAGGTCTAACTTCTTCAATACATACTATATGATTTCTAGACTTGCAAACAATATATACTCATAATGAGTACTTACAACAGACTTTAAGAGAGATGAAATAAATCGAATCTATTTTCTTCTTCTCTAAAATACGTAATGGAAACTGACTGTGTGGATTGGTATTTATAGAGTTTAGAATGCGTTCACTGCCTGCACAAGTTAAACAAGAAAACAAACATTAAGATAATGTGTTAGTGAGTTACCGAGATATAATAAACAATCAACCGCTAATTCATTATTAATAACTTTCTAACCCATGATTTAATTTAAGTTTTAGAAAAAGTTAAAACGTGTGGAGTAAATCGTCCACTATTAAGTGTGTGTTTTAAACGCAAAGCAGAAGTTGATGATTGTAAATAAAAAAAAAAAAAAAAAAAAGACATATTCGTAAAAACTAAGGGCGTTTATAAATATCATTAAAAATTAACTTTAAGCAGTTAATGTATAAATTGATGTATTTAGACAATAGACTTTAAGTCTCTGTTTTTATTAGTGACAAATTTATGACGAAAAGAACATTTTAAAATAATATTTATTTAACAAAACTAATAAATATGTATTAATTTAAAAAAGGAATATATGGAGCATGACTAAATTGCCCTTCCAATTCATTATTTTAAATTTGACTTTTGCTATGTTGCAACTTCATCTCCACCATTATTACATAAACTTGTACACGTGTATCATTTCTCCATCATTGTACTGTGAAAAAGACCTTTCTATCCTTAAAAAAACATTAGGCAAAGATTTTCATGAAGGCTTTTGAGTTTTAAAGACAACAAACACAACCATAGTCTATGGCTAGCTGTACCTCTTCATCAGAGAGCTGTCACTTATTCTTCTTTTATTTTTTTATTTTTTTATTATTTTATTTATTATTCTGGGGTCAAAATAAATAAATTAATTTCAAGTCCACTTCTATTATTGTAGTGTCACCTTTAACCGAGTCGTACGGTTCATTATTTAGTTAAATTTTTATTATTTTTTAGAGTAAATTACGTCCACACCCCTGTAGTAATGTTGAATTACGAAAAATCCCTATTTTCCTGTAATTACAATTACCCATCAGTTTTGAATCTTCTTACACATCCACCTCTGCGGTGTCAAATTCAGTTGGATCTTCTAGATTATGTGGAATATTCTCCAATTTATACCCGTTTTACCCCGTTCGAGCTCAACATTTTAAAACAACATGATCATAAAATGTGTCTATTGGCTTGTACATATCAGACTGTGGTGCATTAGAAACTACATTTCTGCACAAAATGAGTACAAACTAGAGAACATTCCACGGTATCTAGAAAATTATGTTGAATTTGACACTATAAGGATGAATATGTAAGAAGATTCATAGTGGTGGGGCTGTTGTAATACCCAAACATGAGGGGGTTTTTGGTAATTTAACCTTACCTTAGAGAGTAGCCGTAATTTATTAATTTTAACTTTAATTTCGAAAAAAAATCTTCCGTCGAAAAACACTAGCTAGCTATTCTAGTTAATTTTATTTATTTATTGATAATTTATTCAACATTGATTTAATTTATAACATATATATGAATATGTTGATAAGATATTAATTGTAGGAGAAAATAGCATGTGACTTTGGGACCCTTTGAAGGCACGTGGTGTAACTTTATTATAGTACTGTACCTGTGATAGTTGATTTTCTGATTGTCTTGTTCATTTGTGGAATACACAAATATTATTAATATATTATTATATCCTTGTTAATTAATTTTCAATAATATCATTGTTCCGTACAATTCTTCGGTAAATTAAAGCCACTTTCCTAAGGTAAAATGCTATTACAAAAAAATCTTTTTTTTGAAAAATTACATCCAGGTCCCTGAAGTTTGTAAATTTATTACATTCACCCTAAAAATAATGTTAGTGTAAGAAATCTACTAATTATAAGGGGTGGATGCAATTATGAAAATATGAGAGGGGTTTTTTGTAAATAAATCTTATCCCAGGGGTGGTTGTAATTTACCTCAAATTTTTAAATCATTTCCTAAGAAGCAATTGGCCAAATATCACTTGCCAAATGAAAGTTTCTTTAGACCAGACAACACTAATTAATCTAAAAGTATAAGATAGAAAAAATATAAGGGACAATTTCATTCGAATTTTACTTCAAAATCTTTTGGAAAGTCGAAAAATTGTAATCCCAAATATTAGAATATAAAAAAAGTTATTCCAAAATCGACCTTATTGCGTGTTTGATATGTGTACACTTTAAAGAATAAATTGACCTTATAATACATTCTTAAGATACAAGGAATCTAAAAAAAATGTTCCGCAAGGGATTGCCAAGCGGTTCAAGCAAGATAATTTGTGCCCAATGACCAAATTTGTATTCTATTATTAACGGTCGCTAGGTCGAGTTTGTCACACATGATTAGCCTAGTGTTTGCTCCGATAAATCATTTTTTTCTCGTCCACTCAGGGGTGCAGACACACCTGCGCGGATTGGTTTACGTATCTCGTATGATTTGTAAGCTATTATACGTGAGTGTATGTTTATCCAGTGCACCTATATGATTGGCTGAAGCGTAGTTCATTACCAAAATAAATAAATAGGAATCTAAATTTTTTTAATACCTATTTATTAAAAGAAAAAAAGAAAGTTGCAAAACTTTTGGAGCTTATTCTTAAAATATTATTGAAAAATAATAAGATTCCAAAACACTCTCTATTAATATTATTAAAAGATAATAAATAAGATAAGTTAGTTGAATACTAAAAACATATTCCCTTTTGTCTTGTAGCAAGCATGAGCAATAATTTGGGTTATAATGTATATATTTATATACTAGGACTATATATAGTTTATAAGTAAGCTATGAGTTTTTTGCTTAAAAAACGAGTTGAACAAATGTTCATTATAATTTTATTTTTAAAATGCTTCTACCTAATCTTTTTTATTTAAAATTTTATAATGAATAAAATTATTTTTAAATTTATTATCCAAACATCTTTAAAAATTAATTGTAAATATAAGACGTAACAATTTATCAATTAAATAGATTATTAGATGTATGAACTTATCAAATTTTTAAAATAAGTTTAGCCAAACGAGCTCCAAAAGTTCATTTCACTACGAATAAGAATTAATAGCATATCCGATTTGGTATATATCAAACTAAGTAAAATCTAAAACTAGAGTTGAAGCCGATAATCAAATGCTAATATCCAATAAAAGAAAAAATAGTAGTTATCCTACACCTACAATTATTTTTAAGATAGTTACTAAAAATTGAATATTTTTTTGATTTTATCTTTAAAATAATACAAACTAGTACATACCTATTGTTAATTATTGAACTATCGAAAAAAAAAAACACATTTAATATTCCCTAAATTTGGAAAATTTACGGCCACCCGTCGAGATAAGGTCAAATTACGAAAGCCCCTCTAATTTGGTAATTACAACCATCCTTCTTAATTATTTATTGTCTTAGACATCAACTCTTATGGTATCAAATTTACCTACTGAAAGAAGGGCTTTTTCGTGAAACATTACATAGTTGATGTGGTGGTTGTAATTACCGAAACATGATGAGTTTTTTTTTGGGTTAAATACAAAAACACCCCTGTACTATGAACTTTGTATCATTTACCCCCCTGTACTACACATAAATACAAAAACCCCCCTCACATTATATTTTTTCCAAAATATGACCAAAATACCCCTACTCTCAAGCACACACACACACACAAACATATATATATATATATATATATATATATATATATATATATATATATATATATATATATATATATATATATATATATATATATATATATATATATATATATATATATATATATAATGGTTTGTTTGAGCTATTTTCCACTATATATTTTACCATTTTCAGTTAATTTTACGTGGAAAATTTTGGTATTTATATTTTTTTTTCTCCAAAACATCCAATTGCTTATATTTTTTAATTTTCTGAATAAAAACTTTTGTTTATGTTATTTTGAGTTTCTTCATTTTTGTTTTGTTAAATGTCTTCTAGTAGTTCAAACGTCCTAAGATTACAAACATCTTTACAATCCTATGAATGTTGAGAATTTGAACTACCGTAAGATTTAACAAAAAAGGAAGAAATTCAAAATGACAAAAAATAAAAGGTTTTATTCAGAAAATTAAACAAAAAAAAAAAACTCTTAGTAATTAAATGTTTTGGAGAAAAAAAATAAAAATATCTAAATTTTCCAATTAAAATTGACCGAAAATGTTAATAAATATAGTGGAAAATGGCTCAAACAAATATATTTATAGGCTTAACGGGGGTATTTTCGTCATATTTTGGAAAAAATGTAATGTGAGGGGGGTTTTTGTATTTTGGTGTAGTACAGGGGGGTAAATGATACAAACTCCATAGTACAGGGGTATTTTTGTATTTAACCCTTTTTTTTTCTTCGTAATTTAACCTTACTTTAGGGTAGCCGTAATTTTCCCTAAATTTTAATAGTTTTGATTCTACTATAACACAAGGAATCGAGACATTTTACTCACAAACTAATTAGTCAGTCGGAAATTAATTCAATTCAATTTAAATTAATACGATCCATGTAACCGACAAATTTAAGAAGACATAAAATTCAAATTCATTTATCTCCATTTCTTTGTATAGTCATTTATAAAGTTAATTTCAAGAATAATATATATAATTTGGTAAATAGAAATAAAATAAAAAGAAAAAAGTATCCGAAAAAGTAGCTGAAAACTGCATATATTGTTGTTTTTCCTAGTGTTCTTTCATTCAGTGCTTTCATCTGCCTTGTCATTTACTCTCTTTGTTTCACTCCTTTTGTTACTTTTTTTTATTCCCCAAAGACCAGTTAACAGATTATAATTCATTCAATCAAGATAAATTTATAAATGTGACAAAAAAAAAGTAAAAGAAATATCAAAATTAATTTTGTGTGTGTGTGTGTGAGAGAGAGAGAGAGAGTTTGTGTTGTGTAGTGTCAGTATCAAAAAATATCATCTTTAACTTCCAAAACTTGGGGTGTCTTCATTCAGACACATCTCTCTCTCTCTCTCTCTCTTAGATTAAGTAAATAGGCTAATAATAAGCTAATAAGCAGAGCTAACCATAATCTTTGCTTTTCAGCTCATACAACAAATCATTTCACAAATCTGTTTGATACTTGGCCGTGTTTTATTTACCTGGGATTTTGTCAGAAAAAAAAAAAACCCATGAATTTGTGTAGGGAGAAGAAAGTGACACTTCTTAATTAACCCCATCTTCTGGTCCTCCCTCTCTCTCTCTCTCTCTCTCTCTCTCACACACACACACACACACACACAGTGAGAAGAGAGAAGCGCAATTTAGCAGCGAAATTGCTTCTGTAAAGTAATAATGTTGTGCAGAAGCTCAAAGATGGAATCTTTATCCCTACCCACAAATTCTATTCACACCCAAATCTGTGAGTTTCTCTCTCTACTCTTTTTTTTTTTTTTTTTTTTTTTTTTAAATAATGTCGGCAGTAATTTTATCTTTCTTGGTTGTATAATTTGCTGGAATTTAATTCTAATTAGGTAAGTTCTGATCTGTTTGTGCTTTCTTGTTTTGTTCATTTCTGTTTCTTGATTTCATATATTCTCTGCTGTCCTAAATTGAAAACAAGATCTGGCATAACTATGGCTTCTGTTCTAAATCTGAAGCTCAATTCTTTACTTTTGGTCGGCTTTTGAAGTTGTCTTAACTCAATATTCACTTAGTTTCTGCATATTTTTTTGAATTGGGGTTTCTTTTTTGTGTATTTGTGTTGATGAATGAAGGCTTTTTTGCCCGTCGAAGGCCGGCGTAAAATGTTTCGAGTATTTCTTTCGTAAATGTAATTTTTCGAAAAAAAAAATGTTGTAGTTCAAATCTCCAACCAAAGCTGATAAAAGTTTGCTGCTTTAACAAAATTTTTATGTGGTTATAGATTCTTGATTTTGTTAATCGAAATTCAACTCATCGGACCTTATTCGAGATTTGCGTTTCTCGTTTTACTTGCCTTAACCGCAAAATGAACTTAGTAAGAACAAATTTTTCTTTGTGGGCTGAAATGTTTCGATTTTCAGACAGGAATTTAAGTTTATAATGATGAGGTAAGAGCGGTCGAAAAAAGCAACAGTGATTAATAATCAACAATTTTAAATCAAATGATTAGTGGCCTCCCACTCCTATTAATTTAGACTTTTTTTTTTTTTAATTCTTGTTGAGTTCTTCTTCTCTTCGTAGTCGTTGAAACTCAGAAAAACCTACTCTTTGTCATTGTCCAACCAATTCGATTTTATTTTCTTGTAATATTTATCGGATAAGATAAAGTCTTAGTTCGCAAGTGGAAATAGGATTTTGTTTCTGTACAGCTGACGATAAATAGATTATTATTTCAATAAACATTCTCCCACCAGCTAACTACCAAACATAGGTCAACAAATATCCGAAAAAGAACTTAGTTGTACATATGTCTTATTACTTGAAGAAGCCAGCTTATAACTTATAAGTTGTCTGCATGATAATACTCTTAACAAATGTGCCCCCATTACACCGTATTTCGATCAATTAAACATGAACATACTTTTCATTTCGTGGGAGCATACGCTGTCTGAAAGAAAATAGAATATCGGTACAACTTTTACAACTTTTACGATATTGAAGATTCGTCCAAGAATGCAATAATACTTTTGATTTGGATATGAGAGGTTCGTTGTCGGTTTTGCTTCTTTACTTTTTCCCTGTTTTTTTTTTAATTCTTGAAATTCATTTTAATCTCTAATAATACATCGATTTTATTTCGTTTGTTTCTCTATCTTTGATTATTTTGAACTTGCCCACTTTTAAGTTTTTTGAAGATCCCTTAATTGAGGGGGTGTAATTGTAAATTTCGCAAACAAGAGAGACATTTTCGTAGTTTAGGTATACATTAGGGGTTGTTTTGTAATTTACTCTTAAAACATTAACGTATAACGAAAATGTATAACATTGTTATTTGTTATACACTAATGCTATTTATTGATTTATAGTTTGTATTTTCTTTTCAAAGAATGTCGTTTCTTTTGTTTCTTAGATTTATCCTCTTTTGTTTTACTCCAGAAGCACAAAGATTCGATTAGGTGTTGACTAAAATTGAGTTGACTTACGAAAAGCACAGCATGACAGTTGGATCATCGAAGAAGAAGAAAAGTTGTTGGAAGTCAATAGTGCCTCTTAGCTTCACCGAAAAATCGGCACGCCGTTTCTGTTTATTCTCGAAAGTGAAATCGGATAGTGATAGTGCAAAAAGCGCTCCTGTTTTTCTCAATGTGTACGACTTGACAACAATCAACGGCTATGTCTATTGGGCTGGCCTAGGTATATTTCACTCCGGTGTAGAAGGTAAATCTTTCGATTCATTCGTAAAATTATTAATTTTTTTTTTGTTAATATTTATAATACTGGATTTTTTTTAGCAAGTCGGGCATTAAATGCAATAACCTCCTTTTTAATTCTAAAATAGCATTTTAATTGAAATGCGGTAAATTCTACGAACAGTTCATGGAGTAGAATACGCATTCGGAGCTCACGATTATTCATCAAGCGGTGTCTTTGAAGTAGAGCCGCGTCAATGCCCGGGATTTAAATTCAGAAAATCGATATTCATTGGGACTACTTCAATGGACCCCACTCAGGTTCGGGAGTTTATGGAACGACAAGCCGCCTTTTACAACGGCGACACTTATCACTTGATCGTGAAAAACTGCAACCATTTCTGCAAAGACATTTGTTACAAATTGACCGGAAAACGAATTCCCAAATGGGTCAATCGCCTCGCTAAATTAGGTATTTTTTTCTCTCCACATATATTATTTCTTGTGATACCTATTATACCCCTGTCACCAAGCTAAAATATTGATTTCTTTTTTTCTTTTTTTTTCTGTTTATCGAAAAAAACTAGGTTCGATGTTCAACTGCGTAATGCCCGAAGCACTCAAAATCACGGCCGTTCAACAACACGATCCGAAAACACAACCGTACAACGACAGCGAAAAGACGAGGCTGAGAAGTACTTTCAGTTGTCTCTCGTCAATCTCTTACAGACAAAAACAGCTGTCGACTTCTTCTTTGCTGCTACAGTCTCCGTTGAAGGGCTGCCTAATGCCATGGGAGTTGAAAAGATCGGCCAATGGCTCCCTCAAGGAACGATGATCATAAATAAATATAAAAAAAAAAAAAAAAAAACCCGATTTGTTTGTACGAGGAAATTGCGAATGCTGATGGAGGCAATAGTGTGTGAATTTTTTTAAGGTTGCTCCTCTTTTTATATTTGGTAATTTTTTTTTCCCATAAATTGTTGTAGAAGCTGTGTATTCTTCTTATGTTAGTATGTCAGATGATTTGTAAATCAACCTAAGTTGTTTCCTGCATAAAGTATCAAAGGTTCTTGTCCTGTTAAAATTAGTTGTTTTTTTTGTTTTTTTTTTTTTTTTTGCACAGGACAGAAAATCAAGAAAATCCCAAATACCCAACAATGTATATATATATATTGAAAAAAATCTATTTTTGTGTAGCAAGAATCAAATAATAGATGTTTAAAGCTAAAGGGAGACAGCCTAAATTAGTTCCTCTCTCTCTACAAACATATTACAATCAGAAAATCTGAACAAACAAACAGTTGCTTAGGTTCAGACTAACAAAAATGTAAATTCTTCCTGCATATTACTTTTACTTTCTATGGGTTCAAAAAGTGTATGTATATATATATATATATATATATATATATATATATATATATATATATATATAGATAGATAGATATAGATATATACAATGGGGATATACACACTGCCAACCAGGGACTATCTTTGAGAAAACAAACCTGCATGAACACCAAAGAGATCATTCAATATTTTCAATGCAGAAAAAAAAAAACAAATATATGCAGAGCACGAATATCGAACATCGCAACATTTTATTCAATAGCCACCCACGCCGCCACATAGTTACAGAAGTTTTTAATATAAACGTTAAATATATTGGGTGCGTATTAAAACCACCCACAATCCAATCCACATTGCGCTTCGTATTTAGAAAGAAAAAAAAAATTGTGTTTAATAATAATAACATCCCAAAAGACTTCACGAAGGGGCAATTTATCAATCGGCTTTCTGATGCAAAACAGTAGGCATGCTAATATTACCATTGAGGGCAGCGTGATATATTCTCTTCTCTGGCAATCCAATATCCGAACGTATCAAATTACCCTGCATCACAATATTATTCCCGTATTTAGTAATATCCCAAAATGTCGTCTCGAGTTTTATTATATATGGAAGTTATTACGGATTTTCTAGGATTCGTAATAATTTACAAGCAAGCGATAAATACTATGTTTAACGCCCTTAGGCCTCGTTTGGTTTGGTAAACCCAATAATTTTTAGGTCGACCCGGAAATATTATTTTATCATATGGTCGTAGGAACCAAACGAGGCCTTAGTTGAATCCAACCTAAGTTTGGCCACAAACATGTTGAACGAAATTAAGTATCGGTAATTAAAAATACCTCATGAGACATCAACTTTCTGACGTTTTCTGCGTAAAGCTTTGGGTCTTCTCGTTCTTGTTCCGAGGGGTGATAAACAGGTAATCGTGTCACTTCGATGTGATTTACGAACTGACTGAGAAGAAGAACCACATGCCTTACCTGCAAAATACAAATGTTTAATAAGCGCAGTAACAAGGCTAGAAAAAAGTTTATAGTTCATCATTAACTTAAAAGTGTAATCACGTTCTTCTGCTAATGTAGAATCAAGAATTGAAGTTGCAAAAAAAAAAACTCACCCCAGAAATCGAGTCCCATGCAGGACTAAATCTATGGTAGGGATATCTTAAAATAACGGGAAGTACGGGAGCCTTTGCTAAAAATGCACCAGTCTTGAATGGAAGAAGGTAGTCTCCGTTTGTGGTCGTGCCTTCTGTTAAAAGGATCATAAAAGAAGAACTATATTAATAATCTAAAATAATAACATGTGAATTTGAGCTGGTTTGGTTTCATTCTTGGACTCACTTTTTCATGTTTCTAGAATTTCCGGGGTCAAAAATAATTTTCATTAAGTTTTTATGTAAAAGAAAAAAGTTCGTGTTCGATTTAGTATTCGTGGTGTTTTCTGCATAAAAATACGAATAAGTTGAAAAAAACAAGTTCCAACAAGTTTCAGAGCCTAACGAATTTCACAGTAGAGATTTGTCGAGAAGTTAAAACGAAGCAACACATACGAAAAGTAGAAAAATAAACTATTAAAATTCATTACATTTTGCAGAAGTACCGAAAGAAGAAAAGCCGAGTATAAGAAAAATAACCTGGGAAAAGCATCATCTTTGGAGCAAACGGACTTTGATGAGCTTCTCGTATTCTATCATTGACAACACCTTCAAACAAGAACGGTCAAATAACAATTAGTATTAATTGAATAACAAAATTCCTAACATTGTATGGAAAATCGGTTGCATAAAAAAAGTGTCTGCGTGTCAAATCGAGTTTTTTTCTGTTCTTATCTTCAGCTACCCAAAATGAATACTGTTTTACAAAACGAAACAAATCTAACTTTACGTAAAAAAATTGTAACAAAATACCTGAAACGCCCTTGAAGTTCGACGCTTTTAACTCCCGTTGTACATAGACACATCCGAGACACTTGCTGCAATGTGCAAATAATTAAAAATTTTAAAAGGTAAACGAATAATTTGCAAATGTAATATGCATGCCGGAAAACGGTTCAACATCAATTAAAAGTGAATGCAAATAACCATCATACATGTGCAACCAATATGCTTATCTCGATAATTTCTAATAGGATTGTCATAATTGGTCGGTTTTCTAAATGCAACAAACACACACACACCTAAAAGATAGTGAACGAACCTTATGAGACCAACGAGAGGAAGTTTAGCCACGGACCTCTTCAGTAACGAAATTACAAAGTATAATCGACAAAAGGGAGAATAAATTGTCAGTCAAATTTCAATAGTGTAATAAACGGAAAACTAACAGATTATACAAACAAAGTTTACTTTGAGAATTAACTAACCTTGGCAACAAAGCTCGGAAAAGACGAAGACATATGGTAGAGAATATCCAAATAAGATACATGATTCGATATGATAGCACCGGGTCTTTCCAAATCTTCGGTTTGGGACTGATCACCGGATGTTGTCTGAAAAGTTTGTAAAAATCATACGACAGACGCAAATATATATTAAATAGAATTAAATAATGCAACTATTATCTCATTCATCCAATTGAATCTTGATGAAGCATCAACCAAGTTTTTTATATTGATTTTTTTTATGTGGAATAACATCGGCAACTATTTTTCAAGAACGATACTGCAGTTAGCTTAAATTCCAACTAGATAGAGTTGTGTCAAAAATGTCACGCGACCTGCGATTTCAACGACATACGAATTTAAACAAAAATGTGAACTCTTCTTTAGCAATGTGCGATTTCAAGCCCATATGAATTTAAAAAAAACGAAGGATTGAATAACTAGTGACATCACTATTCACTACACGAACTATACTAGGTATCATTCAAACACAGAACTTTCGACAGCGTTTGTTTGATTCCATTGACAAACAATTTATCAACTCTCTTGCCAACAATCCAAGCCAAACATAGTTTTTTAAGCGAATCGACGACAAGAACTTCGAAAAAGCATACGGCATCATCAAATTGTAAGACGAAGAACAGAAAGAATACCTCATTATCCAACTGCTCTTCAATCTCATTATTCCGACGGGTTTCGACTATCCAGTAGAATCCGAAAACAAAGAGCAAAACCCTAGATAAAAACCTGCCGCTCTGAATAATGACCGCCCTCCGCCACCCGCCCATGTGGGCGTAGTCCTCCTGCTCGTCCTCCGTGTTGGGCGCTAGAAACGCCGTGCAAACCCTACAAATCAGGTAGTAAGACACCAGAACAATCGTACCCGCCACCACTCTTATCGGCAGCAGGAGCACCAATCCCAGCCCGAGCAGGATTTTCTCGGTCAACGGCAATTCAGCCCGGCCCATTGTGCCGTACACGTCGTGCCGCACGTACGCCGCGTATTTCTGCTCCATCTCTTCGATGGTTTGGCTGGATACCGGGATTTGGGTTTCGGGTTCTGGGGTTTTCGGGTCCGATTTGAGGAGCGGGCTATCGTCGGGTTCGGGTTCGGGTTGCTGGTCGGCGGGCTGTGGATTTATTGATTTAAGCTCCGACTCCATTGATAATTTGACTAGCAAGAAAGCAACAATGTTTTTTTTTAGTTTTTTTTTACTTATAAATTTATGTACAATTAGGTGTGGGGTGTTTTTAGTGGGCAGCCATTGTTGTATTTGTTCGTGCTGCGGTGTGGAAGAAGGGAAGAAGAGTTGCGATTGGATTGGAAGAGATCTGGTGGGGGAGATGGAGCTCACGCGCTGGACCAGGTTTCTGGGCGCGTGAGAATGCCACTAACAGAACATCATGGGGTTTTGTCAGGTGTTAGTTGGTGCACTGTAAGTTAAGTTGATAACTCGGATTCGGGTTGCTTAGATCGAGTCAGCCGGATGTAATAAAAGTTGCTTCCGGTTCATTCGACTTTGGTACTAAATTTTATTTTCTACGATTTTCTAAAATAAAATAGGGATTATTTGTCAAAAGCCCTCCATTACACAAGGCTAATTACAATAGGTCCAATTTTTTTAGAACTTTTTGAGATAAATCCATTTCAACATTAAATATAAAAAAATAATAAATTATCACTATTTTGCCCCTAAATTAAAAGTAACTCATATAAAAAAACTGAATCGGCCCATTACCAACAACGCCGCCTTCTCCCCTGCAATTCAGAAACCCTATACCGTCTCTCTGCCACACGACCCTCTTCCCATTAATCTCCACCTCCAACAACAACAACTGCATCAATCGAACCGCCGGTCACGTGAAGAACACCCAAACCCGCATCTCCGCCAATTTCAAAACCCATGATTTCACCTCGCCGGAGAAGAACGCCCTCAAAGACTGCATGGAGATGCTCGATCAAACCCTGTACGAACTCGAACAAGCCCTAATCCAATTGGGCGGCGGTGCCTCTCCTCCTCCGACAATTGGCTACAATCTCCGCCGATCGTACGGTAACATCAAAACCCTCTTCAATGTCGCCATGACGAATGAGAACACCTGCATTAATGGGTTCTCCGATTTGGAAGAAATTGATTTGGTTGGTAGGGGTAGAAACCCCCAAAAGGCAATCACAAAGAACACCTTCAGATCTGCTTACCCCCAAGTTATGATCAGTAATAGTGGATTATGTTTTTTATTTGTTATGGTTTGAGAGTGTGTTATTAGTGGATTACACTAATTAGACTGACAATTCGTTAACTTTTTCTTTTTGGCTCAGGTTCTTGAGCAACCAAAGTGATGTCGAATTTGTTTGTATACCTTTGTTAATAGTGGTTTTGGATGAACATTTGTTAATAGTGGTTTTGGATGAACATATACTGGATTATACTTATGTAAGAGTGGATTATGTTATTTTTAATGTGAATTATGCTAATTTTATAGTAAATTTTACTTCAATTCGATAGTGGTTTTCGATAAATTTATGCTTATTTTATATTAATTTGTACTTTAATGTCATAGTGGTTTTCGATAAATTTAGTGGTTTTCGATAAATCTAGTGATCCTGTGAAGAGTAATGAATTGGACTATTCTGATATGTCAAATGAAGGGTTACTTGCACAGGAGAAGGATGACGTATTTTGGTTGGTTCTAGTCATCATCAATCTAAAGACTTTTGGTTGGTTGTTTTCAAACAAAATCAGAAGCTTTTGATGCTTTTATGATCCTTTATTAGTATTCAATAAATTTTTTAGTGGATTTCAACGAGTGATTTTTGGATCTGATAGTGGTTTTTGATAATTTATAGTGGATTTTATTTGAATTTCACTTTAATTTCATAGTGCTTTATGATAAATCCATAGTGGTTTTCGATGTTTATATAGTTGTGTAAACAGAGTGGTTTCATGTTTAAATAGTTGTTTATATAGTGTGGTTCTCATGTTTATATAGTTGTTTATACTGAGTGGTTTTCGTGTCTATATAGTTGTGTATATATAGTGGTTTTCAAGTTAATATAGCTTGTTTACACATAGTGATTTTCATAATGTCAGGCTTTAGCTTCGATAAATTTATAGTGGTTTTCAACAAATTTATAGTGGATTTTGTCTAGTTCGTAATGGGTTTCGATAAATTTATAGTGGTTTTCAACGAATTAATAGCGGATTTCGATAAATTTATAGTTGATTCCACTTTGATAAACGTACTGGATTTTTTTAATATTAAAAAAATTAATCGAAAAAAAATAATTAAACAAAATATTTTTTTATTAAAAAAAACTAGGAAACAAATATAAAAAAAAAACCATTTTAAAAAAAATCGAAATTAAGAAAAAACATTAAAAAAACAAAAATAAAATAAAACCATTTTAAAAAAAATAAAAATTGAAGAACATGAAAAATATATAAAAAAAAAAAAAAAAGAACGAAAATTAAAAAAAGTAAAGGAAAATAAAAAAGAAAAGGAAAAATAGAAATTAAAATTGCGTGATTTCATATCGTGATTTTGGGGGAAGGGGGTTTTCTACCGTGATTTGGGTTTTGATTTATTTTTTGGGAGAGATTTGGTATTAATTTACCATAATATTTAGTTTAACAATTATACGAATAAGTGGGGGGCATAAATGGGTTTTTAAGTCCAATGGATTTATCTCAAATACCATTAATTAATTATGGATTTATCAAGAATAAAAAATCCAATGGAGGGTGTTTGGCATATTCCCCCAATAAAATATTTGTTGTTCGGTAAAAATATAATTATCTCTCGCGTATTTTAATAAAATTATAACATAAAACGGAATATATAACTTTTGAAGTGGTGTTGAGTTACGAATTTTGATTGAGCAAAATTAAACAATTGATAGAGAAATACAAGAGCTAATTAAACAAGATACATTGGAAACAAATTATGCTTGTAATTCGATTGAGCAAAATCAAACAATTTATAGAGAAATACAAGAGCTGATATGGTACTGAAATTTTTTCTAGTTTATATATTTATATTTGTACGTATAAGTTCAAATAATTAAATTATCTTTGAAATCTTCAGAAAATCAGTCAGACTCCAATCTTAATTTCCGAAAACAAAAAGTAACTTTAACAATTTGTTCTTACAAAAGTTGATTTTTCATATTTGTTATATTTATATACCCTTAAAACACGTTTTTAAGTGTAATTGATTAATAAAAAATCAGAAATTTTTGAAAGAATAATTTTCAAATAACATTGTTTTGAGGGTTTTAGCATAGTTTAGTATCCCTCGGTAATTGAACTATTTATGCATCATATAAAATTGTCACAAAGTCCAAACATTTTACACCGATACTTGATGTGTTTTAAAGTTACATTGTTAGTTTAATAGATTTCATAAGGCATTTATAAAAATAACATAATAATTAATAAGTTTAAATAACAAAGAAAGTCGAGATGTCACGATCCACGTATTTCGAAAAACAAGGTATTTGGCTAAAACCTTTTTAGTAGAATATTTAAAAAAAAAAACCCTATTAGCTTGAGTAGACAACTTGTAGATAGTATATTGTCACTAAGTTATAAATATTTCTAAGAGTTCGCTACAAACTTCTTGATTATACTGACATTTTAGAATGTACCTACAATATGAAATGTTTCATAGAGCAACTCTCAACCACAATATTTAATAAATCCCACCATCAACAAAAGTGATTGAGAACTATAATATGAGTAGGTTCAGTATATCAAAATAAATTTTTTTATGTCAAATGGCCATTTCTCTAATCATGGTCTTTTGAAACCCGTCGGATGAGATTGAAGAGCAGTTGGATAATGAGGTATTCTTTATGTTCTTCGTTTGACAATGTGATGATGACGTGTGCTTTTTCGAAGTGCTTGTCGTTGATTTGCTTAAAAAACTATGTTTGGCTTGGATTGTTGGCAAAGAGAATTAATAAATTGTTTGTCGTTGTAATCAAGCGAAAGCAGTCGAAAGTTCGATGAACAATGGATTGATACCTTGTATAGTTGGTGTAATGAATAGTGATGTCACTAGTTATTCAATTCCGAGACGAGGCTATCATCTAGGTCCACTCTTTAGTTCTTCGTTTTTCTAAAATTCATATGGGGATGAAATCACATATGGCTAAAGAAAAGTTCATGTTTTCGTTAATTTCGTACGTTCGTTAGTCGATTTCGGTAATTAAGACATCATAATCACTATTTTTTTACTGGCATTGATGGATCTTCCCTATCTTGTCTTCTTGTGGCGTTCATGTTGAGGAAACTATTGTCATCCTTATTATCCTAAAGAAACCTAGTTGGGAGTTCTTCTTTTCTACTCATTCGCTAGAGAGAAACACATGATTTCCAATTGCTAAATTTTCACCATTCAGAGTTTCAGTTTTAGTTTCAGTATCTTCTATAGAATTGACTGAAGTTATTGAGTTTTTATTTATACTATATGGTCATCTCAAGGTTTACATATTTTAATATATACTTCAATTTCGAAACTTATGCTCGTTGTTCATCTGAATTTCCACGAATATAGACAGACCAACTTCAATCAACTTTACGTTCAAGCTTGCATTTGAATTCAACAAAAAACTTTAGCCACCTCTTCAATAAGCAAACACTTTGAACGCTCCTGAAAAACAAAAATCCAAACTGACAATTTAGATATTTTCAGCACAATTCATGAATCACCACCCATAACAAGAACTACTTACGGTCGAGTAATAAAAAAGAAACACTTCTAAACAAGAAGAAAACACAACAAAGTTGTGCGGCGGAGATCGGAGCTAAAAGGCATGAGTTTGATGTTTCTCGTGGCAGAAATTCAGATCCGGCAAATGGGCCTGATCAATTGATGAGATTCATGTTGGAAGTAGTACCTTTGAAATTTTCTCGTATGCATCAAAGAAAACAGAATTTTGTTTCTCAGCTACCTTGTTCCCGTACTTTACAGTCTTTTCGGATTTGGACAGGATATCAGCAACAACGACGATTGTAAGAGGAAGACCTTCACGTTTCTCTGCAATCTTATTTTCTGCTTTCTCAAGTTCGTACGAGCACGATTCTTCATCACCAAACACCTTCTCGCGAAGAAGATCCCAACTTTGTTCTTTCTTCATAAAGGATTTTTTAAAAGTATTAACAAAGCTAGCAGAGTGAGCGACTTCCTGTAGCGGAGTCGTCAGCAAAACTCGGTTTCCGATTCTTTTTTTCGGTAATAACTTTTCCAACTCATCCCAAACTACCCTCTTCCACACATCATCCAACACAATAAGGTATCTCCTACCCATCAAACTCTTTCTCGTCACCCTTTTCAAGTCGGCTAATTCACCATCTCCTTCTCCATCTTCTTCCACAAGCGTTTTATGATCATAGCCAAGATTCACTTGTGCTACAAGCGTTTTATGATCATAGCCAAGATTCACTTGTGCTACAATGCTACGAAGGATATCTTTGAGTTGATACTTTGGCACTACTTTCACCCACGCACGATGATGGAAATGTTGAAGAATCGCTGGATGGTCAAAGATTTCAATATCAAGAGTAGCTTACCAATTCCCGCCATCCCGACTAGCGAGACGATTTCGAGTTCCTTTGACAACTGATGCACAATCGTGTATACGTAAAAGATAATTTCATCGGATAATCCAACCAAAGTTGACTTTTTTCCACCAAACTCTGTTCTTGATGAAACAGAATCATCATCATCATCTTCTTCTTCTTCTTCTGCCAACGAGTTGTTGCTTAATTCTTTAACGTACTCATCTTTCAGTTTCGTCGTCTTTCGGGTGTAGGAATCGATATCTTGTTTTACTTTCTGCAAATCCAAGGAGAACAACAATTGCGGGCCATCAAATTGTGTGAGAAGAAACCGATTCAAGACATGTGATTCAATTTTATCCTCCAATTTATATGTTGTTTCTCTGATCTGTACATCGAGGAAATATATCCTTTGACTAGTGTTGTTGCTGGTGCTGTCATCCAATCTTCGAAGACATTCTTGTAAAGAATCGAATTCGAGGATTTCCGGTAAGAACTTCTTTCGGGATCCTCTTTCATGGCTGCTGTCCACACCCAGCATTTCGTAAAGAACTTCAGACAACGATCTTGTGCTGCTATCAAACCATCGGAACAAGTAACATGAATCCCGTGTGAAACAAGAGTTTGCCGAGTAAGAACCTCCCGACGTCGTGTAAAAGAAATTCTTAAAATAAATTCAGTATAATAAAAAAAATGTTGTGAAAATTAAGTGTATTTGTTACAAAAAGACATGTGCAAATGAGTGAAATGTACGGAAAATTGGATGAAATGTGCGTATGTCTATATATACCATATAGAGGATATACCCCATATATAGGATACATACCATATAGAGGGATATTTTTGTCCACAACTCAATGATTATATTTTTCCTGGTAAACTACAACCATCCAAGAGGTATGGTCAAATTACGAAAATCTCCTCATGTTTGGATTATTATAACTATTCATCAATTATAAATCTTATTACATGTCCACGCTTGCGGTTTTAAATTTAGTGAAATTTTCTAGGTGTACCCGTTTTGTCCCATTCGAACTCCATATTTTGAAGCAAGATGATCATAATGTGTTTTTTGGCTTGTATATATATCAGATTGTGGTGCATCACAAACTGTAGTTTTACACAAAACGAGTACAAACTAGAGCACATTCCACGAAAGCTAGATGATTATGTTGAATTTGACACCATAAGGGTGAAGGTGTAAGGAAAAATCATAGTTGAGGCGTAGATGTAATTATACAAACAAGAGGGGTTTTTTCGTAAATTGACCATACCTCAGGGGTGGTTGTAATTTTACGCTTATATTTTTCCGGATAAATTCCACTTTTCGCCCTTGTACTTTGGCTCGATATCACTTTACCCGCTTCTAATATCAATTGCATCGATTTGCCCCCTTGTACTTTAACTTGATATCACTTTACCTCATTCTACTCTCAATAACATCGATTTGCCCCCCATGTACTTGAAAAAATGTCTCAATGTGGCCCTCGCTGTTAGTTTTCACACATTTGACCTTAACACTGTTTGATAATGAGTTTGAAAATTACAAAAAATCACCCCTCCCAGTTTAAATAATTATTTAAAAAATTAAAAAAAATTAAAAAAATAAATTGTGGCTGGCGTCGTGGACTATGTTTTCTCGCTGTCTTGAATTTTTTTATTTTTTTATCTTTTAATTTTTTATTTTTTTTATTTTTATTTTCTTTAATAATTATTTAAATTGAGAGGGGTGCCTTTTTAGTAATTTTTAGACTTGGATCAAACGGTGTTAAGGTCAAAGGTCTGAAAACTAACGGCATTGAGACAATTCTTCAAGTACAGAGGATAGATAAATCGATGTAATTGAGAGTAAAATAAGGTAAAGTGATATCGAACCAAAGTACAAAGGGAAAGTGGAATTTACCCTATTTTTCCCCGGGTTCCTTCGATCCTACACCCGGTGAAAAACACCGGGTGTTTCATCTAAGGATACTGGTGCAATTTAGGGTAAATTTCACTTACCCTTTGAACTTTGGTTCGGTATCACTTAACCTTAATTTTTGGACATTACATCCATTTATCAATCCTCTGTACTTGGAGAATTGCCTCTATGCCGGTAGTTTAAAGACCATTGACGAAAGGGAGGTTGGGTTTGAGATCAAATTATCATTCGTGAAAGTCACTGTATCATAACGAGGAATATAATGTTGATTGTCGCTCTCCTCCAAATTAACACATGGTCTTTCAGCTTTTTGCAGAAAGAACTCTTTCAAATTCACGTGCTTGGAAACCGAACTTCCGTAAGATTTTCTTGAAGCATCATCACTCACCTTTGAGTCTTTGTTCGATTTGGCACGGTGAATGTATTATATTGACTGTGGGTTTCGTGATGGCATCACATGAAATTTGTCAACACGCCCCCTTTGTCTCTGACTATGTGTCACTATAATCCGTTCACCCTCATCCTCAATAGCAGAAATGGGGTCTTCATCGTGTATGAGTTCCTCCTCGTGGAATAGAGCCCTTACAA